GATGAAGGAGATTGGAGAAGTGTATGACATCAAGGATATGGGGAGGCACAATAGTGTATTGGGGATGACAGTGGAATTCAACGACACCAACAGTTCTATTTTGTTGCATCAAAGAAATCTCATCAATAAAACATTGGAAAGGTTTGGTATGGCTGATTGCAAGCCCAAGGCCACACCATTGCCCATCGGAACCCTGGCAGCACTCGATACTCAACCAAGACCAATACCTGTGTCAGACAAGGAAGTCATGATGGATAAGGACTACAAAGCAGTACTAGGCTCGTTAAATCACATCGCAAATGGTACTTGACCAGACATTGCCTTCACAACAAACTACCTTCAACGTTTCGCATCAGACCCCCATCCAATCCACTGGAATCGAGCAATGCATGACCTAGCGTATTTGAAGGGAACCATCTCATACAAGATCACTTATCAGAAGGGAACGAAAGGAGATGATGGACTCACTCCCATTGGATACATTGATTCGTCTCATGGGGATGACAGGACTACAGGAAAGTCAACAATGGGGTATGTGTTTAAGATGGCAGGAGGACCAGTATCATGGAGTAGCTGAGCTCAAAAGAGAGTCGCATTATTGATAATGGAGGCAGAATATGTGGCTACCGTTCATGGAGGATGGCAGTCTATGTGGATGGGGTTGTTCCTAGAGGAGCTGGAGATCATGAAGGACCAGCCATATCCTCTCTGGTGCAACAATAATAGTGCAATCAATCTTACCCAGTCAATGAAGGGTCACAGCAAGTCGAAACACTTTGCCTTGGACTACCATTGGATACGAGAAGCGGTTCAACTACGGGAAATCAATGTCAAATATATTTCATCCAAAGATAATTTAGCTGACATATTCACCAAAACTATTCCAAAACCCCATGCAACTGACCTCTTACACCGTATGGGATTCTCTGGTCTTTAATTCCTCGGGCGTCGACTTCAGGGGGAGTGTTGAGAATAGAAGTCAACACCTCCATCAGATTCTTCAGCTATCTAGTATTCTTAGTCATCACCCACTCTTTTCCTGAATTTTCATTCCTGTCATACCTCAGTCTTTAACCACTACTTCGAGTGAGGACTGAGGTATGACTCTCTCATTTTACCTATAAACATGATACTTATGACTACATAGATTGTTGTCATCTAACAGGTACATTAATACAGTCTTTAACCACTACTTCGAGTGAGGACTGAGATTGTTGTCATCTAACACAGTCTTGGCACTTGATGCAGCAAACTGAGATCAATTTTCAATGGGCAATCCCTACAATATTCATCATCACAGAAAACATGCCAGCATGGTTCCGATCATCTCAGTATGTATGCCTGGGCCACCGCAACATTTTCAGTAAACCAACTGAGATCAACATGCCATTGCTACAATATTCCACATTGCGCAAAACACCCTGATGGGGTTCTGATTCATCTCAGTATGCGGAAATTGGGTCAGACTCCCTTCACTGCAGCGGTGTAAGGCTAGGTAACTCCCTGTGAAGGAAGAAATCCCTGTCTATGCAAGATCTTTTCTTATCTGGTAAGGGATAAGGGAAGGTAGGTCCACTCCGCTTCAGCGGCTTGCAACGTCCACTAAGATGGCTGCTGACGAGAGGAATGTGGGATCCGACTGGGATCGGACGGTTTAGGACCAGCGACTGATGACGACGTCAGATGCGTCTTATGAGCTTTGAGAAAGAGGAAATGTATTCCTTTGGTAAGAGGAATCCTGGAATAAGGATCTCTATGGGAGTAGAATTAACTAACTAACTATCTTCATCTACACAATCTTTTATACCATCGCCAGTGGTCCGATTTGATTGATCATTAGCCCTTTTCAGGGCACTTCCACGTACTCGTGCGGCAGACCCTCTGCACACCTGCTACACCTTCCTTGAATGGCTCTGATACGAATAGCTTTAAAAGGTAACCAGGGTTGCATTCACTCCTACCCGCTGACAGGGACAAATAACGACCCCTGTTTGTGCCCAGACCCGCCTCTATCCATGCGGCGGCGACAGATCCGCTCATGGCAGGCCTGTCACGGACGTCCGTCGGTATGCCACATCGGTCCGGCATCCGTGGGACAGGCAGCCGCTGGGCGGTTGGTCCGTGCTCCAGTCGCTGACCAGCTGTCCCTTCCTCCCACCACGACGACTGTGAGTGGGCAATGCCCAGGCAAGTTGCACCCATAGCAATAGTGGAATGTTGTGAAATCCAAAAATGTGTGCTCACACGGATGTGTGGCTGCACAGCGGTGCATTGGTACTTTATGGGGGTCAAATACTTTGAAGGATTTGGTGCTGGATTTAGTGGGTAAATCCCCAGCACCAAAACCAGTACCAAAAACTGATCAGTTTTGAATCGGTATTTAATGTTGGTTTTGGTACTGGATTTGGATCATAAATAGGAATGCAAAAACACACGGTATTTTGATGAGGATTTGGTCGTGTAGATTTGTACTACAAAAGCATGCAGATTTGACTCAGGGATTTGGGTCCTAAATCCAGAAGGGTAAATCCGCTCCCAAAAACAAGTGTATTTCAAATAGTATTTGTAGAACAAATCCGGATGTAAATGACAAACCAAAAATGGGAACAAACAAATCCCCTTTGTATTTCCCGTTTTTGGTTCAGTATTTACATCTGGATTTGTTCTACAAATACTATTTGAAATACACTTGTTTTTGGGAGCGGATTTACCCTTCTGGGATTAGGACCCAAATCTCTGAGTCAAATCTGCATGACCAAATCCTCATCAAAATACCATGTGTTTTTGCATTCCTATTTAAGATCCAAATCCAGTACCAAAACTGACATTAAATACCGATTCAAAACTGATCGGTTATTGGTACTGGTTTTGGCACTGGGGATTTACCCACTAAATCCAGCACCAAATCCTTCAAAGTATTTGACCCCCATAAAATACCGATGCACCACAGCAGTGCTTTGAGAGAGTATTCAGAACTTTAGGGTTTTTTCTTGTTTTTCAATTTCTCATCTACTCACTTGGTGATATATACCAGACTTGAACGTGTCTGAATTCTCGAGTCAAGAATGTTATGGACCGTGAGTATAAATGTTGTAAGACCGTGACCTGTATGATTTGCGAGCATGAAAAAATGACAGCAGAGAGATAGACAGTGCTACAATAGTACCCCATTCAATCCTGTTCTTGTCTAGAGCGGTCTTGGGAAATCACATTCCCTAGGTAATGTTCACTCTCTACAGAAACAGTGTTTGGACAGGTTAGTATAGGGACAGTGAAGTGATTATCATGTAGAGATAGGCTAGCGAACCACCATGGTGATCATGTAGGGATGCGTGCTGCCTTCAATGTGCACAGTTGCTTTGGGTCACCAATTGCAGGTACATATGGTACAAGGCCAGGGATCTCATCGCATGCCAGAGAAATTTTGCAGGCAGGCACAATGATGCCAGATGGCATCCGCCATCTTTTTGCAGAGCGGGATTAGGTGTCCTGACTAGGAGCTCGAAAAGGTGTGCTCTCGAAACCAACGCCATTCATGGGTTGTAGGGAAAACACAGATGTTCCAACAGAGTGCTACATGTTTATATAACACAATTGGTATTGCCCGATCGTGATGTTCTTTGAAGCCAGGCCACTGGCCACTCCTCTCGCCCTCAAAGGCACATCCTAAACGGCCTCTCCCCCAGAATCGGGAATAGTTAAATTGTAAGTCTTCCCCATTGACTAGCATCTGTGAAACACTGACAATGGTGTGTAGGTGTAGGCTGATGGATACAGTGAGCTGAAATAGTGTTGAATATCAGATATCCAGGTACGGTTTGTTAGCACTCCCACACTGACGATATGAGAGAGAGAGAGAGAAAGAGAGGTGCTGATGCATCTATAAACCCCATTGTGTATTCCCTGATAGGGTAACAGTCAGCACACATGCACAGGTAAATTCTGGGTTCGACAGCAATATTGCACAGTGATCCTTTTTTCATGTGGTCTGTGGTGCTGAGACATGTATTTCAAGTCAAGATGATGAACAGAGAAGGGTAACTTAAACACTTTAAACCATTAGTCTCACTCCAGAGCCAAGTTAAATGCACAAACACATCTTCATTCCTGTCGTCTTCCTACACCGTGCACTCTTAGTACAGTAGTTCGGGCTTGTTTGATGCAGGCATGATTGGATTTGACTCCCACCCAGAGCATTCAAAGGTGATGTGTTTGGATGCTGTATCACTGTTTTGGACCAACAACACAATACCATAGGCTCGGTATAGAGAGACAAGACAAGTAAACTATGATCCACATTGTACTAATCAATTCCTGCCACAAAATGAAAGTGTGTATGTCCTAGAGTATATTCCAGTCAGTCAATATACCAAGTGGAGGATGATATACTCAGATGAGGATTCTGATATCTCCTTCACATACTCCTCTACCAACCTACAGGAAGCATGAGGGCACTTTCGAATAGGGAGCCATACAGAACATTGAATGAACAATCCTTGTTCAGCCACTGGGTTTCAAGCGACTCACAGAGAGAATTGTCAGAACTAACAGAGAAAGGCAGCTAACTAGCATTGACTGCAAGGACGGTCTCTTGTCAGTGTCTATAGTAACAAGCAGCTGAGCACAGGCCTGATGTTCAGCGCTGCCAACATCAACAAGGCTCAAAATGAGAACAAAATTTGGGACGTGGATGATAGGGTGAGCCTCTGCCACAAGCTAGATGTTCCATTGGTGCTGGAACCGATGCCAGCCAATATACACCGGCATTGTTGACTTTCTTAACAATTCCTCTTCGGGTATCATCTAGGCATCTCTAGGTTGTTTTGGATGGCCACCTTGGTCATTAAAAAGAAACAGTGGATATGATGGACAGTTGACAGATGTGTACCTCTGGAGTGACTCTAATCATCCACTTTGATGCTGAGGATTATCAGTAGCATGTCATTGTCGAGCTGAGGTTGCTCTAGCAGAACTTATATGTCTACTAACACCTCAAAATATCTCTGATAGTATATCGGTTAGTACACGCGCCTGTCATAATGTAAACGCGCGAAAGCTGGGTTCGACTCCCAGTCAGAGAGCATTCTGCTCCTTTGTGATCCCTTGATTTTTTGCCCTCTACTATCGAATCAGTCGATGTTGTTGTTTCAAATCTCTTGAGTCGACTAGCTATCTATTCAAGCGAATGTCTTCAGTGGTTGAATGGCTTTACTATGTGTTGCACGGTACTGGGGGCCGGGTTTTGTCCGGGAAGAAAGAATCAATAATTCTCATTATTACTAGTTGAACTCAAGTAATAGACGGTGCTCCGGTAGCGTATCAACAATTTACAGTGGCGTAGTTTAGGTTCCGATCCTGTATTGGGGGGTTCTCGGAGGAACGGTTCCTCACTACACCTCCAGAGCTTTCGCACTTGTACGAGTACGAACTAAGTAGTATCGGACTCCTACAGGCCCTTTGATTTGGGACAGTACTTTGATGATCAATGATGAACGTGATCTCACCAAATCGAGATGTCCGAGGTATCTGAATCTCCACCATCCAGACAGAAATCAAGCATCAGTCCCTCGTCCTCCAAACACTTCAAGGTTTCCTCAGACTCTTCACTAAGACCATAGTCCCATCCTCGCCCCGTCACCAATAGGTTGAGCGTTGTGAGATGTGGTACGTCGTGCGGTCGACGTAGTCGCGAAGCTACCATGTCGACAAATGCAGAATCAATGAAAGAGACGTAAGTGTGCAGGATTTTATACAGGCAGACGGTAAGTGCTTGAAGAAACGGGACCATGGAGTGCTGAAGAGACCCATCTACCACGCTGACCTCGCTTAATTGTGTCACAAGAGACTGCATGATGGGGCCGTAAACCTCTTCGGTCTCTGGCACCCATTCGTAGAATTTGATGGCGAGTTCCTGCAGTCTAGGCATGAGCCGTATGACCTTCGCAAGGTTGTCGTCAAGGTCCGCATCGACGAGGCATAATCGCGTTAGGGAACATTGTGACTGCAGCAGCATCTGATGAAGTGCTCCCAGCGCACCTGCAGGGCATGTTACCACATCAGGTGCTATTTCTAGTATTCCATAGACAGTATCGTACATGGTTGTAAGGGTGACATTCTTCAGCGACGGTAATACCAGGCTGCGCAGAAAACTTGGCGAAGACGCCGAAAGTTCTTCCACCGATGAAGCCATAACGAGACTTGGAGGATCGGGAACAGGATGGATATTCAAGCTTTGAACACCATAATCGTTGTACGAGAACGAAAGGAGTTTGGGAGCTGATTTCACGACGTCAAGATATGCCAGATTTAGCCGGTCTCCGGCGAATGGTCTTATATCCGAGAAAGATACAAGATTGGATGCAGGGAAAAGTATGTTCGCTTCTGAGTGCATGTCTTTCAAATGCAGGTTTTTCAGTTTGGGAGCAATCTCGAAGGCGCAGAAGTTTCCGGACGGTGGGTCGCTATAACACTTCAAGTACATGTCTCGAAGTAAATCGATCTTTCCGCGAATGTGAGAGAGTCGCGGGAAATAGGAAGAATGGAGAGTCATTTCGACGGCCCTCCATCGTCTCGAATGAGCAATCATGATATCGAAGCATTGCTTCATTATTAATTGGGATTCTTCTCCTTCCCTTTCCGGGCCGTCACACTCTGTAAAATTAAAATCGAGAGGATGATTACAGGAGCGCTCAAGGACGGTGCGGAGTATTTCCACACCGTCCTTCAGAGACGGCAAAGCCTGCAATTTAGAGAAGACAATTTCTATGGCCATGGAGGCCCATAGCTCCGGACAAAGTGTTTTAACAACATTTCTCCACGGGCTGCACACTTGTCCAAGATGCCACGGCCCCTCTTGGATTGCGAAGATGCTGAGTCCGGCAAGACGCCTCCCCGAGGGTATACCTCCGTGTTCGTCGTCGTTCCACGGGCGACTTAAAATTTCCATCATAATCTCTGAGGGAAGACGGCGTATCGGAGATAGTGCTGTCTCGTAGTCGCTTTTGAGTGACCGGAGACGCAACCTGCGAGCCTCCAGCGAAGCAACAGCATCACGAAGCAAATCAAGGTCACCCTCTATGTCAGCAAGAGGGGTGTTCAGGCCCTCGAGAGACGTCCTTCAGCTGAGTAGTTTGCAAAGGTGATGGTGCGATGTTGTCGTGCAGAAGGGAGGAAATGTCAGGTGGATGAGCGAAAGCCGATATCCAGTCATATTTGGCCAATATTTCATCCAGAGTAAGACAGGAACGTTGCATTAGAGACTGATATGACTAGGGAAACTGAGATCAGTTAGTGAGTCCTAGGCTGTTTCAGGTAACAGAAACGTACGCAAGCACCCAGCACGTCTATGGAAATTCCAATTATAGCTTGATTGAAGGTTCGATGGTGAGCAGTTCAAGCACCAACTTGATAAAAAGATGAAGCACAGTACGACGCGTGCTTGGGAAGAACACAAGACAAAGGGGTTGGGAATAATATGTAATTTTTGTTCGGATCTTCGCACGCGTCGATGTGTAACACGTAATAACGCCTTATTTTTTATTTTATTTTATTTTTGTGGAACGTTTAGATGGTTTCGCACACCCTGCACGGCAGGGCTCCCTCTAACCAGTGGAGCGACACGCAAATGACGTTGAGCTAGACAATATATATAACGCCTTATTCCTACGAAAATGTATACGAGATACCACCATGTAAACAATGCTTAGAACAGACGAGAACAAGAGAGCGAGAACATAGTGACATATCTGTTTGGACAACAGTAGAGGAACCCGCCTTTATGTGAATAATGTTTGCAGAGGTAGAACACCCTTCAAGATTCAAAGGGCATTCCAAAATTCAGACTGGAACAGAAACCAACCGACGAGGTACCTGCACAGACCACGACAGAGACTCGGGGAGGAAATCCACTATGTCAAAGAAAAAAACAAGGCATACCTAATGTAGATGCCTAGCTTAATTCACTTGATATCAACAGCACTCTAAGCGATTCAGACTTCCTGAGACCGAAAAACTCTTATTCGATTTGGAACGACTCGGATCCTTCCAAGTCTTTGCCAGGATCTTCGATGAAGAGGCAGTAGTGGAAGCTCCACCTGATTACGACCATGCTGAGAGTGATACAGAAATCGTTGTTGATTGGCCGAAGTCATACCCTGACCCGCTTATTCCTGGATGCCGTCTTGTTTAGGCCAGGTGCCGAGTCACTGCTGATTCGACAGCCAAGATATATAGGCTTTAGCATGACAGGAACGCTGCTGTTACTGACGTTCCTTTGTTCTCTGTTGAGAGAGGATGTGCCGCTGGCATAGGAAGGAGAACGAATCTCCCAACCTCGAACTTACCCAAACCGAGGAAGAAAGCATCTAAAATAAGTATGTTGTTGTACATATTATATATATTTTAACCTCCCCCTCGCCCTACTAGGGTATGAATATGTAAATGAAATGAATGGACGTTCATGGATACAGACAAGAACTTAACATGATAATGGTTATGGAAGGAGAAAAAAAAAGAAGCAGATGGCGCGCAAATTTGGAAGCATACGTACGAATAATATCTCTCCCGCACCCTCCTCGTTCAAATTTAAAAAGAAAGAAAAAAGACATATCATGCCCTTATCCTCCATCCGTCGCCTTTCCGGCTGACCTTGCCCACACCACCGAAGCCCTCCCTTACGACGAGCCACAATCCCGTGCTGCAAACAACATCCTTAATCTCCTCAGCTGTAAATACGAGGCCTACGGGGGCTACAGAAAGAGATGAGATGCGACACGAAAATAAAGAGAGACAACACTTACTGCCTTCACTAACCACCTTCCTCCCAGCACCATCCCCCTGGCCTTCCTCGAGACTGACTACCCTCCTCCGTATGATTCCAACCCGTTCAACCTCTACGTCCGGTAGCGGGTACGGCACTTTAAGCATCGCGACCACCTTTGGATGATGTGGTGTCGGCGAAAGCGTCCCGACTTTGACCTTCACAGACTGCGCCTCAGTCGCAGTGCGGGGTGACTTGAGGGAATCCATATTCGTCGACGTCGACGTCCTTGCTATGGCGGGACCAAGACGCTTCACCTTGACCGTACACGTCCACGGTGTCTCCGAATCCTCCGGATCACTCTCCTCCCCATCGTCTTCCTCCGTTTTTGACCTGGAAGTCCCGTCCGCACTCGTTGCCGACACGGAGCTCACACTCCCCACACTTGTTCGCTTTCTCCGGGCCGTGCTAGGCCTGTTAGGGTTCTTGGCCGACTTCTTGGTTTTCGATTTCCCCCGTCTCCATTCAACGCGAACTTCGCTGCCCTCACCGACTGCGGCCTGACTTGATCCTCGCAGCATGCCTGCGAGAACACTGCCCCCTTCCCCCTTGAGCCACCGCCGCACAGTCCAAACATACATCGCGGGTCCGCGACCGTTAAACACCCCTCTCGCAGCTGGCGGATAAGCCGAAGACGTGAATAAGGTGACAAGAGTGGGATAAGCCGCGGGATTCGGTGTTGATATCGATAAGAGAGGCTGAATACCAAGTGTAGCCGGAAGAAGGACTTCACGCTGGAACATTAGCTGCCTGTTGGTGTTAATACTGGTTCCTCTTCTGCTAGTGGCACATCGATAGATTTTCGCGGGAAGATAGGTGACGGCGAACGACGGGCAGAACCAGCAGACAGATTCCGGACATGCCGTGCTTGTGTTGGTGTCGTGTTTGGCGTGGGATTGAACGACACCGGATCCTTGGAATTCCGCTTGAACATCCTCCCGAACAAGTTCTTACGAGCCTTGTCCTCACTCGCAGCAGAAGGGGCATGCGAACCCGAGCTTGAAAGTGAAACAGCGCTCGATGCAGGGCTGGGTCCGGTCGGGAGCATCAACGCACCAGTCGACGAACGCGACTCTTGTTGCTTCAGTTCCCGGATGTCGACCTTCGACGCTGCCCACACCTCGACAGGCTCCATCACAGCCAGATCAATCAACTCCATTCCCCTTTTGGTGAATTTAGCGATTTTGGCATCAGTCCCGGCGTCGACAATGATGTTCGTCATGACGTTGTGGGCCTGCAAGTTGTAGAGTGGGATGATCATTC